ATTAGTTAAGTATTATATATTTATAAAAAAATTATGTTAATCGGATATTAATAGTCATTTTATCAGATTAAATTTCTATCAACCGTTTATTTTTTTACAGTTTATTTTTTAATACAAATTTGATTTAATTACGTAGTTATTGATATCCTATTAACGTGATTTTTTCAGACATATAGTATTCGACCAATTTTATACATTGAACGGTTTAGATTATCGAAACGAAACCCATGATGGATATCCACGGACTCAACAGTACAGACGGAAGGAAAGTCCAACCCTAAATTTTAAATAATCACAATAATGATAAATTTTAGTAATATTAATAATTAAAGTTATAATTTTTTTAATGAATCTTACTGAATGACAATTTTTTCTTTTATTTTTACCCAACTTAAAATTTTAATTTGAGAGACAATTACTTAAAAAAGTGATTTGGAGGGTTAATTAATTGAGAACATTTGGGTTTTTTTACGGAAAAGTTTGGAAATCAGACAAATTTATTCATAATTTTTTGGATGAGTGCGTGATGAAAATTAAATTTGTGTAATGTAGGGTCCATGTGTAAAATAAATTCAAACCATAAGATAATGATTTTGGCTTTGTTTAGGAAGTTGACTATTTTACTTGGTTATTTGGTTTTTTTATTAATTTTAATCTAGCTAAAAAGTTGTGTTTGCAAAGTTAGTTGGTTTTATGTTTATAGTCAATTTGATGATTGTTAGAAAAAAAAAAAAAAAGAAAAAAAAAAGTGAATGAAATAGAAATTAATTTTTTTCCATTATTTTTGCTTTCTTCCGTTTTTCCTCCGCAAATTTGCACAAGACACAACATTAAACAGCTACATAACATACGCAATATAAACATAACGTTTCACGACAAACACCATAATCAAAGTGGGGTTGGTGTTGTGAAGCTTCTGGGAGGCATGTTCTAAATCTTTTTCGATAATTTGAACCGTTCATATTATAGGGTTCATCGAGTAGATCATATATGAAAAACAAATTAGGTTAATTAGACATTTATAACCCTAAGATCACATTTATTTTTAAAAAAGTAAATGCTTAGTATGATTTTAATGATTTTTTTAAAAATAGCTAGGTTTTGATCATGGGGTTACGCATGTCTGATTAACCTATTTTTTTATTGAATAATATATTTGGCAAATCTAATAATTTGACGGTTCGAATTATCAAAATAGGCTCAGGACAAACCTCACAGAGCCTCACAATACAAGTTATGTGACAACATCCATCCCAAATCCCACCACAAGAAGTCATAACTTTTCTCGCCAAGTTAAAAGGTTTCTCACACAAAATGATTCATAACATTTACACCACCTCATATCATTAATAACATAATCACAATAAATTGTAATTTTCATTTTGAGGTACACACTATAAATACATCATTCATAACTTTTATTATAAAATGACGTAACACATTATAAATATTTATAAATTTTATTTAAAAAAATTATGACTTTCTTACAATATACCTCTTTTTAGAAACGTTGATTTCCCCTTATAAAAAACATAGTCTTTGATTTAAGGAAGACACAATGAATACAAAAAAAAACCATAAAAATGAATAACCCTACATCATTGTTGTCACTACATTCATTTTGAAAATTTTGTGTCCCGTTACTTGATGTTAGGGAAGAAACTCAAAGTGGCAACCATTGTGACCTGCGGGCAAACACATAGTAGGGTTACACATGGACAGAAAATATTTTAAAAAATAAAAATATATTGCAAAAATAAGGACAGGCTTGATTGTAAAAAAAAATTCTGATTCAAAGTGATTGTGACTCATGTAATCATGCCGTTGAAAAAAAAGAATTTCTATAAATTAATTAAAATTGAAACCGACCCATGAGGATCCCATCTCACATCAGTGTTGGTCCCTCTTGATTTGTTCTTTTTCACATCTTTTTAGCATAATCAAAGGCGATTAAACCATCACTTTCAAATGTCACACTATTTTTCTAAATTTGTATTATTTTATCTTCACTATTCTTTATGGAAGAAATTAGCGAAACATTCATCTTCAACTTTGTATAGTATCAAAGGTTCAAAATATATATTTTTTATTAGTTAAGATCTCTCGATGAAATTTCTCTATGATCATATCAGAGAAATTTCAAAATTTCTTTGTAATATTAAAAAAATTGCTCTGTAAAAATTGAAATTTCTTTGAATTGGTCCGAAATTTCTCTAAGTTAAATTTTCTCTGTAAAAATGTTGAGGGATTCCAACTATTTTGAAAATATTATATATCATTTATCTTATAAAATTTTAATATCAATAACCTTAAAAAAAAAAATTCTCATTCTTTATGAGCGCTGGGTCATAAATTTAATATTGAAATTTTTGAGACAATAGTCTCAAGTTCTAATATTTTAGAGTTATAAAGACATAACAATTTAAAGGACCATATTATCTCTACTATCTGTCTATCTATCCATTCTTCCTCCTATCTTCATGTCATCTATCTGTCTACTAATATGTTAACCTATCACCGATTTATCCACATAATCTACCTATTTATCCATATCACCTCCACCACTAGTAGCCATCACTAGCCACTGTCAGTAGCTTGACAACATTTTGACACCGGTGGTCAGGAGATAGTTGGAAAAATAGAAAAAATTATCTTTTAGGATAATAATTTATTTTTCTTACCACACGATTTCACTAATTATGTTCTTACAATCAAAATAAAACAATCTTTGGATTTGTTGTCAATTTTTAATATACTTCTTAACAATTTTTTAATTTTTATTTAAACTTAAAATCTAAATACAATTTAAAATAAAATTTTAAAAATAAATAAATGAATAAAAATGAAAGCATGGGCATCTCAGATTTAGACGGATTAGGCATCCTAGGCACATGGGCCAGCCCCTCAAAACCATGTGATGATGTTTGGATTTGTATGTAGATTTGAGGCAGATTGCTTTCAGTTGGAGAAAGATTTAAAACCTTTTATGTGGTGTTTGAATTTTTGACTTTGTGGTGAGAAAAGATAGAAAATGAAAATTGAATAGAAGAAGTTGAGTTGGTATCGTTTTTGTTTTTAATTTTTGAAAACATACACATAAATTTTTTTAGAAGATTATTATAAAAAAAAAAATGTACACTTTTTAAAACACTGCAAATTTGTTTCCACACAAAAAATATTGACATAAAAATGATGTATTTTTTAAAATTTTCATTTTTTTTTTTTTTGGTTTATGAAAATATGGAAAAAAAAATGATACCAATCACAATCCCGAAAGGTTTTGTCTCTCTTTTTTGGTTGAATTAGAAAAAAAAAAAGAATAAAATGAATGGAAATTAGTCAAAATCATTTTTTTGGGGTATAATAACCCATAAAAATAAATATATAAATTATTGTCATTTCTCTTTAAAAAAATCCAAGATTCAAACATACCAATCACAAAACAGAAATTTTTTACGAATGTGACATGCTGACTCACTAAACAGAAGAAATGATAACTCGTGTTGCGGTTTCTCATTAATCGATAATTTAATAATTTTCTAAAAAAGAAACTGTACTTGAAGATTTGAGGGTGCTTACTGGGATCAAGTTCAGTGGTGATGGCACCACCATTGAAGTAGCAACTTGCACCCTTGTGTTTGAAGTTCTGATAGTAATTGTTGAAGGCATATGAAGCATGGTCTCTCACAGTGTTTGGAAGATAGCAAGGTTGGTTCACCTGAATCTCACTGCAATTTGCTCCTCCTTTCCCACAAGCCCAATCCATGGCTGCTTGCAACTCATCATCTGGTGTCTGGTCATCGGCTACGCACCATTGCTCAAACTCCGCATCTAAAGCATGCTTACAAGATAGAAAGAATAAGTCTAGGAACACAAAAATCTATCACAGAATTGGATACAAAATGTATACTGTGCATGATTTAACAATAATTGTATCTTACTACTAATTAATGCATCTATATTAAGTAAATGGTTCATCCTAGTATGGGCCACGGAATTCTGTCTTGAAATTTCTCAATCCCTCTATTCCAATGCACTCTTATTGCATGATCGGCCCGAAATTTTCATCAGTAGGATTGTACCTTAAGATTTCCACCACATCATGTAATTACGAGTACATTGAGATACTGAGATTGAGAAATTTCGAGACAGAGAATCTCTGCCTCTAGCATGGAAGATATGGAATCCTCTGCCTCAAAATTTCTCGATCTTAGTATCCCAAAATCCTCATAGTCATTAGATTATTATATCTTGAAATTCTCTCACATACAAGATTTATCTTATAATTTCTATTGAAAGATGAGAACACAAAAGAACAGAACATAAGTATAGTCATGGAACTTGTAAGATATCAACCTTAGATTGAAATCTGAAGATACCTTAAAAAAAAAAATTCTCATTCTTTATGAGCGCTGGGTCATAAATTTAATATTGAAATTTTTGAGACAATAGTCTCAAGTTCTAATATTTTAGAGTTATAAAGACATAACAATTTAAAGGACCATATTATCTCTACTATCTGTCTATCTATCCATTCTTCCTCCTATCTTCATGTCATCTATCTGTCTACTAATATGTTAACCTATCACCGATTTATCCACATAATCTACCTATTTATCCATATCACCTCCACCACTAGTAGCCATCACTAGCCACTGTCAGTAGCTTGACAACATTTTGACACCGGTGGTCAGGAGATAGTTGGAAAAATAGAAAAAATTATCTTTTAGGATAATAATTTATTTTTCTTACCACACGATTTCACTAATTATGTTCTTACAATCAAAATAAAACAATCTTTGGATTTGTTGTCAATTTTTAATATACTTCTTAACATTTTTTTAATTTTTATTTAAACTTAAACTTCTTTACTCCAAAATAAAGAGATATTGAACACCGAAAGACATGCTTAAAGTTCTACCTAGTGCACAAGGCATTCTTGTGGACATCTAGAACAAGCTATGGAAAAAGTGTATGTTGTCTCTGATGACAATGCATAGAAGTTTTACTGAAGTAACTCTATGATTTGCTGCAGAAAGACAGTGATGCTGTCAAAGAGGCACTTGATCAGCTGAGTGAAGTTGGTTGGGCAAACAAATGGAGTTCTCAACCATATGTATCACGTCGTATGGTCAGTGTCCATAACAAGTGTGAAGTTCTGGGAAAGTGCTACTCAAACATTAGCCACATCTACAAATCTATGCATAAATGTACATAAATAATGTACATCTGTTTACTGCTTTGAAAACTTTATTAATTAATGTACTTGGTATCAAAATATGTAGTTTAACTGTTTCAAATTTATGCGGCAGACCTCTCTTCGGGAGCTGACAACTCTTGGAATTAAAAACGCGGAGAACCTTGCAATCCCAAGTGTTAGAAATGATGTAAGTTGCACTGCACTAAATATTTTGTTTAACCTGTAACAATAGAAGAGCATACAAACCATTGCATAAATTTCATTATGTATTTTTTGGGACTACCATTAATTATTTGGTGTAATGGATGAGTTTTGAGTTTTCCACGTGGTTTAAAATCGTGTTCTGAAAGCATGACTTGATGCAACGACCTAGTTAATATAGGAAAAAGAAGTTAAGAACAACATGTGTTTGGGGAAAAAGATTCCAAACCACTGGTTTGCTAAAAAACTAGATTAGTTTTTGTGGCATAAATTGGGGCAAGAACCTGAACAGGACAACATTTTACCTTATTCCAACATCAGCAGGATACACTGTGCATCGGGATGTCAATATATTTTGCCAGTTTTCAACATGTATTCTTTGTTCTATTGTCCTCTTACCAGTTTCTGAGTGATTGAAATTATTGAAATTCTAATATTGCATTAAGACTAGAATTTGATGACACCTGTGCCTTCTATTTGATTTTCTTTTCTTATTTTTGCAAGACTTAAACCATCATAATTCGTAAATATTATGTTCTCCATGAATTTGATTTAATTCAGTGATGCAGGCAGCTTTTCTCTTTACGGTGGTAGGGACAACAGGTTTTTTGGGTGTTCTTGCCGGTCAGCTTCCTGGGGTAACTTCACATAATATCCTCTTTCTCTGTAGATGTCCATAAACATTAATAAATTGTCATAAGAAATAATTTCAAATTCATGTTATGTAGAGTTCTGAATTTCTCTTTTTTTAATCTATTGATTATGTTTCTATAAGTTTCAAGGAACAAAGGATAAAGGAAGCACAATTGTAGCTGTGGATTATGCTCATAGAAGCTTCTTTCATTCCTTTCTTATCAGATGGCTGCTTCTATGACTTTTGATATGTTTTAAAGACATTATAGAAATATAACAAATACAAGCTACATGTTTTTGTAGAGTATCTCACATAATATATGAGATAGTTTTTATAAGGTTAATTACACAAAGACCCCCTTAACTATTGGTGAGTATCACTTTGTCCTCTTGATTTATGAACCCGTACATATTGATCCCTTCAACCATGAAAATCGTACAAATACGCACCTTTTTAGAGGTGGTCTGGAGGGGGTGAAAGTGATACATTTTTATAGTTGAAGGGGTCAAAATGGATGAGTTTATAGATCAAAGGGGTAAAGTGATATTTGTTAATAGTTGAAGGGGTCTTCGTGTAATTAACCCTTTTTTGTACTCACCTGTTCATGCGTGTATATAGTTTTACCTTGAACATTGGGTCACTGACCTGTTTCATTTTCTTTGTGTTGTCTACTTTGTGAGTAATGATTCTAATGTCTTTAATGTTCAACTCATCTGGGTAATGAATAAAGATATTTGTTTTGCACTAATATGTATTATGGTTAGGCTGTCAGACTAATACATTTTATTTCATTTTTTTGTAAAGAGGATGGAAGGAAATTGAGGCATTTTCACATCTACTAACATTCTTATCCACATGTAATTGTCACTTAGGATTGGGGCTTCTTTGTGCCATACTTGATTGGGAGCATTTCTTTAGTAGTTTTGGCTGTGGGAAGCATTTCACCTGGGTATGTTGTTAGGCATTAACTACGTTATTTCCTTACTACAGGCTGTCTTGAATATGTCAACAAACCTTTCAATTTTGAATTACCATGATGTTTAAATCAGAATATTGTATAATTGTTAGCTCAGTTGGGCACTTTTAAATTGTATAATGAATTATTGAAGAGCACAGTTGAGGGCTGACAGAGAATTTCGGGATCCTTGTTCTAAAGATGATTTTACATGTTTAATATAGGCTTCTTCAAGCTGCCATTGGTGGATTTTCATCACTTTTTCCTGATTACCAGGATAGGATTGCTAGACATGAAGCAGCTCATTTCTTAGGTAATTTCTCTTTGTTGGGCTTAAAATACAAACTATGGCTAGTATTGCATAAAAACATTTGAAACTACAGTGGCATAATGGGGAGTAGCGCAATGTATCTTCCTTTTTGTTGTAGTTGATTTTTTATAAAAGACCTATTCCTCGAAGTACAAACTTCTATCTCTGAATAGGTGAGATGACGTGGACTCTTTTATTACTATATTATGACATTAGGAACATATCTATAGAGATGGCACATGTTGTTTCTCTTTCTTGATCCATGTGCATGTGCAGTTTTGGATGCACATTGTAGTACTAGTGCTTAGGTTCATTTTCATGCAATTAAATCACTTAGTGATTTTCAAGATTCAAACTATTATTAAAGGATTGTCAAAGGGGGAAAAAAAGTATTGATAAGCCTGCTGACGCATCTTTGGAGGATCTGGAGTTCCTCGTGCGGCTTTTGGATGGTGTCTCTGCTTCTGGATCTTTCACAGATCGTGTTCCTTTAGCCATTGTGCATCTAGGATTTTCCTGATGGGTTCCTTGCAGATGCTTGTGCCGCCTTGGATCTGGGGTTTTCTCCCAAATCCTCGTGTTGCTGTCGGATCTGGACAAAACCGAAGGCTATGACAATAGGGGATTTCTCTCTCTCTCTCTTCTATTCTCCCCTCTGTTCAAGTGAAAGACAATGGTTGTGGAGGGGGCTAGGCTTTTCTGGATTTTTTTATAGGTGGATGAGAGGGTTGTCAGGGTGGAGCAAGTTATGGTGGAGGACGGAGCAATGGCGGCTATGGTGGAAGGTGGCTGTGCAAGGTTGTTGTGGCCGGGATTTGGGCATGGGGAGGGGGAGGCTGGTGTAAAGAAAGGGGATGAGAGAGAAGGGGTTGGCATAATGGGAACGGTAATGTTGTCCCCAAAAATTTGATTTTCATGTCTTTGAAATTATTGTTTTTCCATTCACGTTTTTGGTAATTTTGAAATATTCTCCCATTGAGTTGATGTTATTTTGTTCCTTGAGATTTCCACTAATATGAAATTATAAGATAGTAAAAAATAAATATTTATTACCTTACGTAATTGATTAGTTAATAAAATTATTTTTAAACAACAATCAAATATACCAAAAAAAAATTATATGTATAGCTATGGGAACCTAATAAAAATAATTAAAAATCTAATTTTAAAAATTTCAGAATAAAAATAAATAATTTTAATTTAATAAAGGGTTTGAGTAGGAAGGAAATTGCTAGATTAATTGATATGGGATTGTTCATTATTGGCTATATTATATTAGAACTTTATGTAAATAGGAAACTATTAATAATAAATCATATATAGTATTTCATATTTTTAAAATACCACATCATAAGGGTATCAAATGTTTAAGGGTAAACACTACTTTTAAGACCATATCAATGATTTCAAGGTATAAAGTACATCTTAAAGAAAGGAGAAATTGAAGTGCTGATAATTTTTGTAATGCCAGGAGTGAGTCATGATTCTCAAATCAAATGGTGGCTTTCTGGTTGAGTAACTGTGATAACCCTGTTCCATATTATGCTAATTAATCTTAATTACGAATGTGATTATGTGTTTGATATGATTTTGAGTGCCATTTATATGAATATATGTGGTTTTGAATATCTATCTGTTCACCGTAGGGAAATCTGTTTGACTTTCTGCTTTGGAATTTACATTGAAGGCCCTATCGGCCACAGAAACCAAAATTGACTACGCCATTGTGATTGGCGTAATTTTTAGAGCCTACGATGAAATTTAATTGAAAATTGATTCGGATCAAAATAATCAGATTCAGAATAGCTAATTAAAGCACCATTACTTAATTTTAAGTGATTTGATTAAGGAAGCCTATAAATAGGCCAACTTACACTCACACTCATTGGTTTTGAGTTCAAAATCTGAGTTTATACTTTAGTGAGAGAGAGAGGCCGGCTCTAGAGAGAGAATGGGGGAGAATTGTGCAATTTTGGCTCAAGGCTTGAAAATTTGAAGTTAAACTCAAAGAACTTGAGTGTTTGAAGCTCCTAGGTGAGTAATCAACCCCTAATTCATGAGTTTGAGTTGTGATTTTGTGAATTAAAGATTAAATGGTAATGAAGAACATGAGTTGTGTGGATTTTGACGAGATATGCACATGCATGCATAGAATTGCTATGAATTGCCATAAATTAATTTGCATTATCTAAATGTAGCATGTCAATTATAAAGATGAGAGTTAGGTCATTCATGCAAGCATGGTTTTGTTGAGTTTCATGAAATGAACCCGATTTGCACCATTTTGATAATGAATGAAGTTAAATTGGCATGCATGTTGTTATTGAGATATGGAGCATTATATAATTTGAATGCAGATCGATTATTAAAGAAGATGTTGATTAATTTGGAAGAAATTGGACCAAATGTTTTGAAATATGTTGGCTCATGTTGCGTACGTCCATATGCAAAAAAATAGAAAAATAATATTATAAAGAAATAGTATTTGAAGGACGAATTTGAGCTCTTGACTTTGCAGATCGAGTTTGAACCTTG